ACAGTCAAACCAGTATTCATGACTTGAGGCTTCCAATCCGCGCACATTATGAATAAGCTGTGTGACCCGGCGGCGAAACATTTCTAACAATCAAAGTTCATTTGCCGCCCTGCATATGTCACTAGCATGAGACATGAATATCAGAATCTCAGAACTATGAGGATCAAAGCCTCCAGCAGGCTGTTTCAGAATCCGAGTACTATCCTGATCCTCTAAGATATAGTCCAAAGATGTCGCAGCCGTAAGAAGAATCGATCGCTGAAATAGTAAATCCCACTTTACTAGAAAGGATCGTAGCAGAAAATCAAGTGAATGCCTGGTGACATAGGCAAAATAGTCACATGGGGTGCGTCCTTATAGCCACATACGCAGTCTATTTTCATTCTTTCGGTTGGACAAAAGTCAGTCTGGCAGTCAGTCTGTTGTGGAACATGCCGATAGAGCGTGGCAATAGGACAACCTCACTGGTTAAGCTTTCCGTGACGTCGATGATTCCTACAGCTTCTTCACTTTCTGTACGAAGACCAATCTTAATCCGTCTTTGATCTAGTTTGTTTCAATAATATGTCGAAATTGCTGTACTGTAATGGCACATGATAGTCAGCCTCGCAAATTAATTGAAATACATATACAGGATGACTGAGGCCGACCCACCTCCTTAAGCCCACTCTCTAGCTCCAACACAATCCTTACAAGCGCGAGGTTTCAGTCAAGTCACCTCCTCAACTTCTTTCACATGAGGAACTGCACCGTCACAATCAAGATAACCTCAAATATCGTATCACTTCGGCGGATCTGGTTCGATTACTTTAAGTACAATTGGAGAAAACATTGACGGATGCACGCCCTTCTCGACTTGTGGGGTATACGGCGCCCTTCAGGCTCAGGTATCATGCAGAGTCCCCTAAGCGATGGTTTTGCTGGCAGAGTACTGGCTCAATAAGTCAAAATCGGCGCTAATTTTCTCGCGGACCTAAAACAAGGGATCAGGAACGATGTCTCGGACAAATCGGAGAGACTTACAATATCTAATCCAACAACCAGCTCACCGTCAACCCAGGAATCCTGTCGAACATTCCCATCGGCCAAGACAAAGAAATCATAATCAATGCTGTACTCACGCACACTACCAACTAACCGTCGACTGAAACGGCACTGAGGCGACTGGGATGTACCCTTCATGAATAACATAACATGGCAGCCTTGACCAACTCAGTAAGACAAGTGATGAGAGCCTCCGTCGGCTGTTCAGGAGTAGGAGCCGGACAGCAGGGACAGCGGTAGCATGGGCCGCGGCATGGCGATCCAGAGCATTGCGGACTCTGGCGGGGTCGGAACCTCTAATCAACTCAAGGACGTGGCCACTGCGCAGGCAGACGACATAGGGGGCTACGGAGATGCCATATTCCTGTGCGACGTCAGGCAGCTCCTTGGCGTTGATGCTAACAAACGACATGGTGGGAGGGGCAGGCTACTGCGAGGCAAAGGCGGACAGGCCGGCGCTCATTTGTATGCAGAACGCAGTCCATGGAGTGTAGAAATAGAGGACGAGGAGCGCGGAGGCGAGAAGGTGGCCAGGTGCGACGAGGAGTCGGCCTTGGGGGTGATCTCAGTGAGCGTCGACATGGTACACGAGGTGTCTTCTAGTATGGAGGGGAGGCTGGAGAGGTGAGGAGATGAAGGTCGAAAGCGCTGACCAGGACCGACTGCGTTATTTCCACCCATCAAGAAGAACAACTATTTTAGGATGCTGGAGTTGTTCTCAGAAGGTGGTTTTTGTCTTCTGTGAAAATAATTCTGAGGTGTGGGCATGTTTATTACTAGCAGCAGTGTGGCATCCCCTTCATCTGCTATTGTTCAAATACGACGTCACCCAGAACATCACGACACTAAAGACACCATCACCAATGACAAGAAAAGCATCAACTGAAACGCCAATCACCATGACACCAGTGACTTTACCACCACTACATCAAGCATTACACCAGGGGCGAAGAATAAAGCAAAGTCTGCAGTTACTCTAACAGTGTTGATACTACAGTAGCGCATAGGCTGGTGGAGATTAATACACCCATAGTCTTTTATAACCTATAGCGTGGTGCCTGGCAATATTGCTTTGAGCTCGCCATAAAAACATTCTCAACTTTTCAATTTATGGATAAGCCAAGTCAGTGCTGCGTTGGACTGCCTACTCCCTGGAGATTCCCGAGAGAACTAGAACATAGGTACATAAAACTATGCTCAATGCAGTGGTAGTACACAGAGCTATAAGCTTTGAGAATGGAAATTAAATATTACCAATGCGACACGCATCAAAACTCCTCGAATCATCAAAGAACTGCCATGAGTTGTTCCGTTCGGCGGACTGGTGGCAGCCATCTGCTTCTGTCCCTTCCTTAATTCCCCGCAGCAAGATCAATGTCTAGGATGCCTTGCACGCAGACTCACTGACATGGAGAATCGCAGGAGCACCAGTATCCTTGGACCAGATCTCAATACTGTCGGACTGAGTGCCGACGTAGATCGAAAATTCCCCGTTGGCCTGCGCACCCTTACATGCCGCAGTTATATCCATTGTCTGCATGTTTTGGTTCGGCTCGACCAACATGCTAGTAAAGATATCGCCGGATTCAGGAGCATTCTCGCCATCCACTGTGTCTTCATCCCAGTCAGAGGATAGTGCTCGGGCGACGGTTACGTTCACGGCGAACGGATTAGGCCGAATGAAGGCGGGAAACTGCACAGTGCACTTCGTTCCATCGGTAACTGGGACAGGGAGCTTGAAACCAACCAGGAAGCGCACCCAAGCCAGGCCGCCTGTGCTTGCTCGAAGGGTTTTCTCGTGGCCGAGTGTGCACTTGTAGCAGTTTCTCTCTGGACAGTCGGGGCAGCTGACAGTTGAGCGCAGGATAGTGGAGTCTTTTATGGCAGGCGCATCTTGGGCCCTTGATGTCATGAAACAACTGGCAAGGACAGTAAGCACAGTGCAGATCGTCAGAGGAGTTGGTGTATGCATTGTATGAAGTTGTCCCCTGTTTGATTGATTCAGTAATGGACTGATGGTTGAATACTGACATCGTTGCTTTATATATGTGCAATAATCCATCAAAGAGTAAAGACTGAGTGTGTGAGACACCTCACAATTACTTCCAGCATTGACTGAGTTGGTCCCAGCCAGCTGGTCGGCAGATGACCCAACTTCTGAGACAAATACGAAGCGTCTCTTGATTGGAGGGTATCGGCTTTGAAAATTGTTATAATTGGATGAGTTTCTCCAATGTTACGAGCATTCCAAATAGAGTTACACAAAGGCTTGGTGCCCACGAGAAAATGAACGACACGATAGACATCATTAGTTAAAACCTAGCGGTTGCTATTTTCGTCTACAGCGTCAGCCCTATACTTGAAGTTCCAACCCTTATGCTGAAGCCTAAAATGGCGTCATGACTTTTATGGCTTTCAGTCATATGAGCCAGCTCGTTGATACCAGTCTTGCAGTGCATCCTAGGCGTTCCTACGGTCAAGTGTTTGGAGGGGACAAGGGTCTTCTTCTGCCCCATATCCTTTCGGCAAGACATTCCTGTCAAGATATCCTACGTGGTGACGGAAATCAAGTTTCTTCTTTCTTGTTCTCGAATTTTTCAGACTATCACCAGGTGTGGTATAATGAATATGTCACTGGTTGATATTGCTGGAATTTCCTGCCATGTTACTTGCTCATATATACTCCACGCCCGACATCTTCTTGTAAATAGGTCACTAATTAACATACGCATCATGATATTAGCATTCATTCCAAGTCGTGACTGCTCATTGGCTAAAAGCATAGGGATAGACCTGACTTAGACAGAGAAGACCGACCGCTGTCAGTTTATGTCTGACAAAGAGGGTCAATACCTCCGCATGAGCAAAGAAGGGCAAAGGTATATATCCAGTGTATGACCACATTAGAAGCTCATCAGTCCGTAGTGTCGTGCAATTGGCCAAGTAGTAATGATTCTATCTGTCTCCTTTAATGCCTAGATTTGATTGAGACCGCCTGCGCTGTTATTCAAAATGCTGTAAATTAAACTTTTGCGGAGGATATTGCTCATTACACCCCTCATCCTGTCCACCTTGATTCAATTAATTTGCCTTGACTAAGGAGCATTTACATTGCCTCGGCTTACTATTGCGTAAGTCATGCGTGCGGAGTGTGACGGGACAGAATCTCCACTAATCCTGCTAGTCGCCTGGAGCCTTGGACCTCTACTGCTATTACTGCAGCCAAAAGCGCAAGCTCGGAGCACTTCTGAGTCAACTGCTAATGAAATGGCCAAGTCCATGTTCGAATGGAGCATTACTGAAATTTATTGTGCTTGATCGACATGGGCGAAAGATATCTGTTTGCGAGCTTCTGCGGTTGTCCGACAGACAACTGTGTGGAGAATTGAAGGAAAGAGTCCAAGCCTATTCATCTGATGAGCGAATTTGTCTACGTACCACGTGGCCAATGCCCATCCGACAACCGGAAATCGGTCGATATCGGAGCAATGCGAAACCTCATTATCTGATCCAGCGAGACCAATTTAGGTAACGTGATCCACTGGAAGCTTCGGAAGGTCGCCGAATCTTATCAATCAATACCCAGTTTAGAAATCTGGCCAATGGGCAGCGTGCCCCACACGGTTGGTGAGCCAATCTGCTCGTAGTTCGCCTTGGCTGCGACCGTCCGAACCAATACAAGTGATCAGCCAAGAACGGTCCCACCGAGCTTTAGCAGCGATGAGAATGCTGGGAGTCTGGGAGTGTCCCACAACCCATTGCGTGTACGTTAGAATCTTATCTGATCGAATTTCCATCATCTGCTTCCTGGAAATACTTAACTTGCTCGTCATCCTATGCCATTGCAGTTGACACCTTGGCCCTGTTTTCCTTTGTCCATGACCTCCGGCCTCTTCTAGGTTCTATCTCTCTGCATATTCAAAAAGAGTTCTACTCCGTTGCTGGTCAAGTCAACTATGGAGACAAAAGAGCCAGCCGTGTCGTCCCCTTCCCAGGAAGAGCACGATACTGCTGTTGATGGCAAACGCCCACCTCCATTACTGGCTAAGATCTTTGCTGTATTCCTCATCTCATGTATCAGTTTTGGCTCTCATTGGAGCTCTGGAATAACAGGGGCCATGAAAAGCACCATCAAAAAGGTAGGTCTTGATAGTCACATTACATCTCTACAGACAACGACTGACTGGCCAAAGCAAATGCATGTCTCCAACACCGAATTTTCCCTCTTGGAGGCCAGCGAGGATTTCATGGCGACGGTGCTCTTGTTAATCAGTGGAGTCATCACAGATCGAATCGGAGGTGCAGGTTTGTCACACCTTTGCGGGTCTCATTCCTCCTTGTTGGTGACTGACATCTTTCTAGAGATGATTATTTACGGCAATGTCGTATATACCATCGGGTCGATCCTCGTTGCTGCAGCTACCACAGTGCGCTCGTTTAACTTCATGATTGGGGGTCGAGTCATCCTAGCCTTTGGAGATATTGCAACCCAGGTCGCCCAGTACAAGATGTTCTCTTCATGGTTTCCCCCAAGCAATGGGTTTGCTTCTACTCTTGGCTTTGAGTTAGCGATTGGAAAGGTGCTGCCCTACTCGCTTTGGTAGATACGTTGTACTAACACCAAAGTCTAGATTGGTGGATTCGTTGGCAAATCGACTGCTAATGTCATTGCCAAGGTAAGCAGCCCTGTCATGACTTGAAGCGGCATCACTAACCTGGATAGAAAACTGGAAACTTTGCTTGGGTCTTTTGGACCTCTGTCTTTATGAACCTGTTCACCAACGCTGCAACAGTCATATTCTGGTTCTTCAACCGCTACTGCAATATCCATTACAGAGGAAGACAGGACACGGCCAGTAAGGAGGTTCTGACTGAGAAGAACAAGAAGTTCGAACTTCAGAAAGTGTTCCAGCTCCCTTGGATGTTCTGGGCTGTCATGGCATTCTCCTTATTCCAGACAACCACTGCCTTGGTCTTTAGCCAGAATGCAACCGAGCTGGCGGAGAAGCGCTTCAACGTGGATTCAATTACAGCAGGATGGTACAGTTCTCTGTCGCAATATGCAGGTGCGGATGGTCAGCTTCTCTCGTTCAGTTTGTTCCGTCGTTGACTCTGGCAGGTTTCTTTTTGGTCCCATGTCTGGGTGTCTTTATTGATGTCCTAGGCAACCGCGCGAGTGTTTGTAAGTTTCCCTAGCCAGCCATGGGTTTAACCTATCTGACATCTACCAGTATGCGTCTGTGGGATCGGAATGTTCCTCAGTATGGTTCTGGTCAACTTCGCCGAGACCAAGTCTGGAACGGCCGCTTCGTTTGGAATATATGCCGTTGCCGTGTCGTTTGGCCCAACTTCCATCATTGACAGCATTCGCACAACGCTATGGCATCAATCCGTCTTTGGCTCTGCTTATGCCCTCAAAGTTACGATGAACAATGCGTACGTGCATCCGATTTCGTATACAGATCGAAAAAGAGAGAGACTGACCTTGCCCTAGGATGAACATCATCATCCGAATCATTACCGGAGCACTGCAAGACGCTGACGACGACTCGTATCACCGCGTGGTCCGCGTCTACCTTTTCCTCGCCGCAGCTTCTGTTGTTGTTGGCTTGGCGATATTGGTCGGGGCTCTGATGACGGACAGCCTGGCGCCGCTCCAATGGACAAGGAAACAACGGCTGACCTTAGGCCCAGAGCATATTAGCATGATCCGTGAGCGGCACACAGTGACATGCTATGCTCGCAACAAATCTATCTCTATCTACTGCTTCACGGCGCTTCTGTTACTGACTGTTGGGGGCTGGGTGGCTTACATTTGGGGAGCGGTCACAGGTAGCAACTCATAGGATGATCCGTCAAACCTTTTTGTTCTAAAGTCAACGAGAGAAATAAGATGACAGAATAAAACTAAGTTGATCATGCCAAAAATATCCATATAGACCCCAGTTCAGTAGAATATACTTCACAACATATGCGTCGATCCGTTGCGACTGGCGGTGGTATTGTCATTTCGAGAGATAGTTCCTCTCTTCGCCCCTCTCCCTTAGTCAATTGATCGAGGATCATTAACTTGCCAGATTCTGTAATGGTTCACACCATATTCATTATCCAACGTAGTACTCCCCCGCGAGATACGGTCAGATCATGCCTTACACGAAGAGCACTAAAGTTGTTACCTGCGGTAGAGATGATAGAATGCACCGAAAATTGCCTCATTATAATTCAAGGGTATAAGTACATCACATTTCACCACGTCCAGCAGGATTTGATGGATTCCGCTCTGCGAGCAATGGGAGTTGATTCCACGACTGAATATTACTCCGTGTATCAGTGTCGCCATGACCTGGTCCTCTTCCCGTACTTGGAGGCCTCATCTCCATAGTCGGTAACTAGAATACCAATCTTAGATGGCACTCTATTTCTTCCCATGCAAAGATCCAAAAAGGCCCATTCTCAAAGGTCGTTGGACCGGCGGAGGGCTAATCTCCGAAGCCTCGAGCTCTACGGGTTGCTTTACAAGAATCTGACGTTTCTCAGGGGCCTTGTCCCCTCGGGGTTCAAACTCGGGAAGTTCTGGTTGGCTTGGATGAACAGTGATATTGACAATGTTCGACTTTTGAGAGTGTTGGATCTCCCCCTAGGCAAGAAAGACTAGATTAGTACAGATCAAGCGGCGAGGCTTCTCACGGAGCACATACTGGGGCTATAATTGGGATTTTCTTCACATAGCCGATTCCTTTCGATGAATCAGACCAGCACAACAGGATCGAGTCCTCGTCAGTTTGGTGCACATATGCCAATGCAAAGGATTCACTCTTGGTGGTAAACTCCTTGGACTTAGCAACCCTTCGGACCTCAATGGGGATCGAACCCAAGTTGGAGACCCGGTATACATGGCCCTGGTCGTTGACCAGGACGAGTTCAGTCCCCGATGGTGAAAAGGCAGCGGCTTGGATACGATTGCCCAGTCTGCCCTTGTGGTTGGACGAGGCGGAACTCTGCACTCGGATCTCCGTGCGGTGGCCCCCGTTGGGATGGACGAGAATGGGAACGCCGGATTGCGTCCATGTGGCGATGCAGATGATGTCCTCTTTACCGCCCATCCCCGGCTGAAAGAGCACAGATGATATACCGTTATCCTCTGACTCATGCAGAGGGACGCGGTACCGGCAGGGTAAAACCTCCTGGAAGTCGGAGAATGGGAAATGGGACAGGTATACCTGGATCATCCCGTTCCGTTCGCTACGGGTGCTGCACACCAGGACGAGCCCATCAAGAGAGAAGGAGACGGTGGCAATTTGAGGACAGTCCTTACAGTCCTGGTGATAGCGAGCATGCACGCGATGGAGCCGTGGTTGCTGCCATTCAGAATGGTTGAATAAACCGACAGTCGATCTGTCGAATCCGACCGCTACGAAGCTTCCGCTGGGGGAGACGGTCATGCTTGTGCACCACGGTGTGGGCCCGATGCGATACTCCACTGGGGGTGCGCACATCCGGTCCATACTTTGGATCCACAGCTGCCGTATACAGATGAATCAAATAGCGATCGTCGCATCGGGGTGCAGGGAAACTCACCGTCTGCTTCCGATCTCGGTCTCCTGTCATATAGGCCACGTGTGTTCCTGTCACAGCCGCGAGAATGCAGAATCCATCCGTTGAGATGGTATCCTTGAAGGTAGGGGGACAAGTACTGACTTCCCAAATCTGGATCGAGGACTGCGACCAGAACAGCGAGTACGTCGAGTCTTGTGATAGGCTTACTTTAACTTGCTGGGCAAGTTTCCCACCCGCTGAGTGCTTTCCTCGGCGACACAGGCTTTTCAAGTCAATTTCTTCCAGCTTCTGAGACTCTAGAGTCGCTGAAGACAGGGAGCTGGAGTCTGCATGGTCCCTTGTCTCCTTTTTCGCAGTGCTGAATCTCGACTTCCACTTGGACCGTGACTTATCTGACGTAGCGGGTGGCGATAGGGCTCGAATGCCCCCACTCGAAGACGAGCTGGTGTGAGTGACTGTGGTTGTTTTGCTGAGGGGTTCAAATCCTCCCACGGAGTCTGCAGAGAATGGAGGGTCCCCCGCCGCTGGCCTGAGAGTCTCGCTCATTCTTCGGTTACCCAGTGGAGGTGGACTATCGACCCAAGGTTCCGCACGCGGCGCGTTTGCTCGTCCCTGAGGAAACCCAGAGAAGCCAAAGGGAGGCGGGGATGACGGTCCTGATGCGGTTCCGGAGTCGCGGCGGGGCTGGTCGGACCGCAATGGCGCCAACAGGAACTGCGTGGGAAGATGCCTTTCCGCATTGATGGCCTCTACGTTTGGGCTGAGCGGCTTGAGATGCTCCCAAGTATACCTCGCTAGCGATACTTCACGTACCATGGTGACTGCCGAGCCACAAAACGCACACCCGGACCCGGGGGGGAGGGCAACTCCTGACGCGCCGCCGGCATCATCCTAATTAAAATCGGTTCAGCCTAGGTCAAGCCTTGCAAGAACAAAGGTTACATACAAGAAGGGTCAGGTTTGCGATGTCTCGGACCTGTGAAGAGCCTAGTAAATGGCACTCCTGGCAATTAACGACGTACAGCGCCGGGCTGGCCGACCTCAACTGGTCGCTGGGGTCGTCCAGGAGTTCAATATACTTGGTTATCTGGGAGACACTGTGCATCATGGCCCCATCGCTGACGCGGTGAATCATCAGTCGATGACCCAGTCGCTCCCGCAACGCCTCCAGCGCATCAACCATGTTTCCATCGTGCCGGTGCTGCACGAGGCTAGGGGTATCAGGGAGGATGATTCGAAAATCCTCACTAATCATCGGGATGAGATGGCCCGCAGAGACGTAGGGAGGTAAGCGGATGCGATTGAGAGCATGCAGCACGGCATCGCGACTGCTCTTTGATGCTCGTTCCAGTTCCGGATCACAGAACTTCCTGGTATTCACTGCAAACTGAATATTCGCGCCCACGACAAACTGCGACACGTCATATAGACCCAGAAGTTGTGATAACCAGCTCTGCAAGGAACCGTGCTGAGGGACGATGGTCGCAACGGACGACGACGAGAGGCAGTCGGGCAGAGGATACTAGTTGTTCACCGGCAATTATATCAGCATGCCTGTTACAAAGCCGATGTGACCTCCCGCCCAAGACGGATCATCACTTACTAGATCTCCCGTCAAGGATGGCAACTCCTGTTTCAACCGCGAGGGAAGCGTCAAGGCATCCGGTTCGGCGCGAAGTGCGTCCGCGATTGCCCGACAGACTCCTAGATAAGATGAATGGGTACTCGGATAATTGTCGCATACTCTTTCCAGAGCCCGGTGGACACGCGCAAATCGATCTCGACGATCTCTGAGCCGAGAGTTGGGCGGGGGCTTCGGGTGCAACAAAAGAATCTGGACGGTCGATAGCACCAGCCGCGAGACGTATTCGTCGCGCCATGGAGCGTCCCAGAGGACTTCGCGCGCTTCCAAGACGATCTGGAGGATGGATTCTACCGTCCTCAGCGTCACCTCCCAGCTCACCAGGAAGCCGAGTGACCAATTTACGGGGGTGCTGCCGACCGGAGGGAGCGTGAGGCGCTGGATGAAGAATATCACTCTGAGCTGAACTAGTAAGGTTAAAATCAAATCCGCATACGCCTCTTTGTCTGCGTCTGCGTAGATCTTCTCCAGGCTGAAGCGGCCTAAGAGCTCGAGGATGATATCGTCGATGTCGCTGCGGAGAGCCAACAGACTCCAGATTCCGGTTAGACTCGAAAATACCGGCGAGGGCGAAGCCGTCGCCATTTCCTTTTGAACAGCAGTAAACACGAGGGAGTACTTTTGCGGCCTTGGAGAATATCACAATTAAGCCTCAGTGTGGACTGTTGTGGGGAACTATCCAACTTATGGCACGGATCGCTTGGGCCAGACCAGGCACTCCATTTTCCTTCATCCTCGATGGTCGACGCCTCGTGAACCCCGCATGAGGCTTAATCGCAGTCTGGGAGGTGAACTGGAATGTGACGCCGAGATGGTTGGTGGGCATGTCTAGGATCCTTATCATCCGTACAGACGCGGTGGTTGGCCATCCCCGGCCAGCTAACACGCCAATCCTGCGTGAGAAGATGCCGCCTCTAACATGATTGGACATCTCATGCAGAGTTAATCTAGCTTCCCCCCGATTATTGGTGTTTATCACCAGCTGAGTTGTCGAGCTCGTATTCCTGCTGTTTGTGGGTGGTATCGCGGTCTATCTTTATCCTGAGTAGGCTGAGCAGATCGGATGCGCATGAAGCAACCCAGGCAGCGCCGAAGTATTTCCTTCCTTCCTGCCTCATCCCACCCTTTTCTTCTGCTGCAAAAACGGGTACAGAACCATATACCAGTTCTCCAACTCGATCGCTCTTTTGTCCTCGAAAATGGCGGCCGATTGGCAGCACACCGAGCACGACATGAAGGACGAGGGCTCTACCATACAGAGTCCTGGGTTTGATCTTCATTACACCGACACTGCGGGTGATGGATCACAAGAGGAAGATGTTCGCGACCAGAAAGGTCACAATCTCTGGTGAGACTCCATTGTATGGCCAGCCTGAGAAAGCCCCTCGACTTATGATAGTTTGTAGGCGAGTCTTGAATGAGAGACAGATCAATGTACGTCAACTGCGACGTCAGATGCACTGTCGCTTAACACCTGCTAACCTTGCTTCTGCGGATAGATGATTGCATTTACCGGGTATGTTGACTACTCAATGGTTTCTAGAATATTCATTGTTGACAGAATTATCCTTACTGGTGTAGAACTATCGGAAACGGTATTTCTCACCCGCTCCCTACACCTCGAGTCAATCAAATAACCATATTCCTCTAGGACTCTTCCTGACCAGTGGAAGATGTCTTGCCGCTGCTGGCCCCGGAGGCGCAGTGGTCGCCTACGTGATCATGGGCACTGTGATTTCGTCGGTGATCTCCTCCCTGGGCGAGATGACGGCTCTGATGCCGGTGAATGCCCCGATGATGGAATTTCCGCGGCGGTTTCTGGATCGGGGTGTCGGTCTTGCTGTCGGCTGGATATACTGGTGACGTCCCCCGGAAATTGTGAGGGCTCCTTGCTAACTGTGCCAAGGTTCTCCTATGTCGTGATGGGAGCAGATCAAATCGTCACCGTAGCAGCCTCCATACGGTTTCAGTACGACGATGGTCGCACATTCCTCAGCTGGGCTACCGGTATGGACACCAGTCCGGCACTCTGGATTTCGGTCTTTCTGGTGGTTGTTGTCATTGTAAATATGATTCCTGTTAGGGTGAGTTGTAATGCCATACGCTGTGGTTCTGTCCTAACGCCGTAGGTTAGTACTTTGGCGAGCTCGAATATATTGTCGGATGCATCAAGATTACGTTCATCTCGATGATGACCGTCACGATGCTCATTTTGAACGTCATGAAACGTGAGTGCTGCCTTTGGGCTATGATTGCGCCTCGTCGCTAACAGGCATGGAATCATACAGCCCGATCCAATGCATACTACAGTCAGCCCCTGGGGACAAAGTGTAGGAATACCCCTCAAGCGGAGGGAAAAAGAGGCTAATACGCTTGATACTAGACTGGAATTCCCCGTACTCCTTCTTCAACTCGGACTACCACGTGAAGGATGAGTATGGAAACCTTGACCAAACAATCAGTGGCGGGGTCGGACGATTTGTTGGTGTCTGGTAAGCACTATAGTCGATAATCAGTATCTATGCCCGGAAGAATGATCGACTCATTATGTCTTACATAGGACGGCGTGCGTACGAGCCTTCTTCTCCTACACAGGCATGGACATGGTCACCGTCACTGCGGCCGAGAGCAAAGCCCTTGCCGACTCGGAGGCCATGAAGATGGCGTCGCGGAAGATCTCGCTGCGCGTAATTACCCTGTACGCGCTGACAATCCTGACGGCGTCGTTCCTTGTGCCCACCGACCACCCGTTCATCAACGGCGCTGGGCAGTCTACTGGCGCCCGCTCGATCTTCATTATTGCGGTCGTCGAGGCCGGTCTGCCCGCCCTCGCCCATTTTTTCAACGCAATGTTCCTCTTCTCTGCGGCCACCTGTGCGTCGGACAATCTCTATGTGGCCTCTCGAGTCCTCCACACGCTCGCACTTCGAGACCAAACGGGACCGGAGTTCATCACGCGGAGGCTCCGGCAATGTCGTGCAGGGGTCCCGATGAGAGCCGTCCTTGTGTCGGCTGCGGTAATGCTGGTGGCATACCTGGGGCCTACTGGAGCGCCTGGTGCGGTGAGTGGCTCGCGTCAAGATCGAATGGATTTGGATTGCAGCTAACATACTGAGCCAGAGATTGGCCGAGCTGTCGTCCAATTGCACGGTCTCGTTTTTGATTGTTTATGCCACTATCTGTGCGACCTATCTATCATTCTACCAGACGTATGTATCTACCCCCTTCTCAGCGAATGTGGCCGCAGCACTAACGTCCTTATTCCAGACTGGACGAAGCCCAGAAGTACGGCAACAATCCCCAGACCCAGGCCGGGATTTATGATCGAAACCATCCTCGATACCCGTACAAATCCCATGCGCAATGGCTAAAGGCGGGCTTCGGCATGGTGGCATGTATCATCTTGCTGATATTCAACGGGGTCAATGCATTCCTAGCAAGGCCATTCGATGTCCGGTCCTTCATTGCCTCCTACATCAGTGTACGTCCTTCCCTTGGACTCTGGCATATATCTCGCGGTCATCACCAGTGCACACTGGCTAATTGAATTCTTGACAGATCCCGGTTTTTGTCCTGCTTATTGTCTTTTACAAGATCCGGAGACATGGATTCAATTTCTCGCAATGGGGACCGGAGAGATCCAAAGATCTTCGGAATTGTGTCCAAGTCTCGAGTAACAGGAGAAAGGGCAGGCTAGAGTTCCCTCACCCTGGCTTAACTGTGGAGAACGGCAAGAGATTCCTGGAGTGGATATGGGTATGGACCAAGTAGACTCAGTTCATGTTGGACACCACGCATCTTTGTTTGGACATTGGAACTCCTGATCAAGTATTCCATTCTGTTTCAGTCTTTCATTCCCGTAGCGCTGTCCAGTAATCCAGCGCTATGCTCTATAAGTACAGTGACAAATGAAAATGTACACGAATACATCTATGGGTAAGAGCCCATAATCCATATGAAACAAACCCCTAGAACTGCTAGTCCAAGTGCTGTCACGCCATATCGTTTGGACCCTTCTGAGTTGGTTGAATTAGAAGCCACAGCGTCAGCAGTGCCTTCAATGCCTTTGCTGGTCACTGTTCCATTTCCTGTACGGCTTCCAAACGCACTTTCTCCCCCTTCCACAACTGTGGGCGTAGCGGCTTGACAGGTGCTGTGAGTCCCGCTAGACGACCCACGGATGGATGTGGTAGTTTTCGTAGTTGATGGTGATCCGGATGGATAGCGATACCAATTCGAAGGAGGATCATTCAGACATTCTCCGTAGAGTGCCGTCGTATAACCTCGCCCTTTCAGATAATCAAGCATGAAAGGGACGAAATCGTGGACGGTATGGCCGTGAATGTCATGCGCCAAGGAGATGAAGCTATTCGTCTTTGGGTTTCCGGACTGTAGCGCGGACTTGAAGATATTCTGGCTGTTGGGGTAGTTCTCCTGCCAGTCCAGCGTGTCGATATTATAATTGGCTACGTGATACCCAAGGTCGCGTAGGTCTGTCAAGCAATCTGTGTTGCAGGACATGTATGGCGGTCGTAGGTACGTCGGAAAGAACCCCAGGATATCACCGAGGGCTATCTCGTTCTTGATGATTTGATCGTATCGTTGGCGTTGGGTAAGGGTCGATAGGTCTTGATGGCTCCAGGTATGGCTGCCAATCTGATGGCCCTCGTTGTACATTCGTCGGATGAGCGAGGGATAACCAGTCCGGGGATCGTTGATCTGGCCCTTGCCGCCGTTGTTGCCGACAAGGAAGAAGGTCGCCTTGACGCCTCGAGCTTTTAGTATGTCTAGTAGATCCGAGGTGTAGATGTACGGCCCGTCGTCGAATGTGAGAGCAACCTTGCCGGGTACATTGCAGGCTCGAATGCTGACTCCGTATGGAACGTCGCCGGTCTTTGGTCGTGGCAGCGATGAGGTATTCAAGCCTGAGGGGGTCTGGTTGGCATCGCAAGCTGGACCATACTGAAAGAGACAGGATGGCGCATTGCAGTAGAAGGCTCCTATACCACAAACTCCCTTGTCATTTCATCATGGTCAGTACTATTATCCTTTCGGAGAGAAGTTATCAGTCCGTCGAAGACATACATTTGGTCCGCAGCAAAGACCCGAGGCACAAACTGCATTGCCAGCAGAGGGGCCGCAGGTCCCAGAGGTTGTTCTACTTTCTAGAGAGACGCTATCTTCAAGCACCTGGCTGCTATTCACAGCCGAGAAGACAGTTAACAAAACCACCGTCGCCAGCTGTAAGGACATTGATAGAAGGTCAGTCCAAAGCACACAGTCCAAAGCGCTGAGATAAATTTCAACAAGTCTACAATTATATAGACTGTCTTTTGAACATTGAACATTGAGGACGAGTAGTAACTATCTATTCCTAAAGCGTAGATGGCCTGCATTTATGGTTGCCTACAACAGCCAGCTTCTTGAAAAAGGTCCGAATATTCTTCGCGTGGTTTTGTCGCCAACTCTGAGTGGCCGGATGTCAAAGCTCGAGCCCATATATGGTTCGGTACGCTAGCACATTTTGATAGTTGATGGAATGCTGGTGGTATGCTAAGCTCTCGGATCTAGGAACGTGGGCAGCG